GACCATTAAGACACTGCGACCCCATCCAATGGCCCATGAATTCCAACTTCTGCCAATTCACGATATAGCGCAACCACTAGCCAATGTATTCGGCGAGTATTTGTCCTCGCACCCGACCTGCTACACCCTACTTGTCACGACGTCCCACTGGAACCCCAGGTAACTACCTACTTGAATAGAAATTAATTTTTAACTATGTTACTTATATAGTCTATCGGTGTGGATATTTCAAAAGACTAGATGAGTTTTCACTGGCTCATACGATTCAGTTCTACAGTAAATGTCACTGAAGATTAATTCTAAAAATAAACTATGTATATTTTAAGATATCTTGCTGTCTTACTTCATAAACTCATATTATGCACAGGGATGTTTAATGGTGAAATATGCGTTAAGCACCTTCTGACTGGTCTGATCGACTCATTACATCATGATCAAGCTTGAAATCAATTAAATCCCTGCAAACCAACATTTGAAAATTAATCGAGTGCTCACTAGGAACTGACTACAAGAATGAAGTTGCCTGTAGTTTCAGTAAGAACTCGTGAACACTGCGGTCTACGATATTCGGTGTGAAGACAAATAACCGCCGATAACACTGGCTGCTTACGGCATTATATATCACGAATCGATAACAGTTAGAATTCAAGGTGTCATTGGATTGTACCTCATTGACTGAATAGTCGATGAGCCCGTCTTGTAATCTGAAGGTTCTACGTTCGATTCCTGGTGGGGAGTTCTAGATGGATACTGTTGAAGGTTCCAAAACTAGAAAGAGGCAAACGCTTCAGTACTCCATGATTTTCAGTGGTTCTATAACTAAAATTGGTTTATCAGCAAACCTGAAAATAACTTTGGTAATTATTTTATATTTTTGAGAGGTTTCCTACATCATTTGTTTCATATACGATTGTTAAACCATTTACATTCAGAGAATATGTGTCAATTTTAAACTTAAACTCAACGCTTAAGCGTTTGAAACGATGGGTACCTGGGGGTGGAAACACTATCATTCACTGATGAGGTAGTACACCCTGCTGATGAGTCCTGAATAGTACGAAGTGTTTACATCGTAGATTCTACAACTAGCCACCACCAAACAAGTCACTATAAACGAGTAAATGACTTCATACTTCGCTTATGTCTGTCTATCTTCGGATGAAATATCTTGGGTCTGATGTAATAAAAGTTGACGATTACTTACAATTTGGCATCTTCATAATACTAATTTTAATGTTTTGAGAAAAGTTGCTTTCTTTTCAAACTCTTGAATGCCTTTTACTGATTTTGTTCTTTTCATTGCGTGTCTCAGAAATTCTCTCACTCACATACACACACACACATACACAATTTGAGGTGAAATTATTTTCCACTTTGAAGTCAAAGTAAATATTGTTTTAAAAAAAAGGAACACTTAGGTTTTACTTTTATAATATAAATTAGCTGTTATGTTACTGTATACACCCATTTATTTAGAAGAAAGGAATTCTGTATAGATCTACTTTTCTGCTTATTTATAAGTTAAGCTTGTGTTTCAACAAAGCAGGGACAACTCAGGGAGCAGGTAGATTAGAGTTGAAAACTGTGAATTAATTGACATTCATAATCAATATCTTATATCACCAACTGCATAATCGAGGTTGCTATCGGAAGAACACCAGGAAACGCTGAATCGTCCTTGAAGCATTCATCAAACAGCGATAACACGACTGAATGTTGTACTAATGAATAATCTGGACTACACTGTTAAGATAAACTCGGTTTTACAAAATTCTCTTAAATTTTGAAATGATAACTATCACAATCATCTAAAATAATTCAGCTGGAAAGTGCGTCACAAGTCCTTAAAGATCGCCTGATGAACTGAGGCCCAGAGATACTCGTCTATCTTATATCTACCGGCTAGCAAAGTTATGCAAGGAAGGTATCCAGCATAGGCCCAATCCACTCCATTTGTTATTAGTGCCTTGTTCAATTTCACTAAGAGTTATTCATTTATCTTTGTTTTAGTGAAGACTGTTTGTTTTTTGTAAATTTTAATTCTTTCCTCAAGTTTTAACCTGCTTAAATCCGATAAAGAAGATCGTTTTTTAATGCACTTAATTGAACTAAGTAGTAGATCACGTGTATGATTTCAATATCAGAAAATCTGAACAAGGCACAAAAGACAACGGTTTGTGCAGAACAATATAATAGCGTAGTTTATATTTCGTCTACTTTCTCATCAGCTACTTAAGCCTATATAAATTAATTAAGTTTATGTATAGAGCAATTTTAACGTACTTGCAAAAGTGACATGAGGTCAGTTAACTGGGGACTCCAGAGTCAACAAGCAGTGCTCAGAAATTTCACTTATAATATAATTTATACATTTGAAGGTTCAAGTATAAACAAAACAAGACAGGTGAATAAAGATGATGATGGGTAACCAATAAGCTGAGTAACAGTGTGATGAATTCAACTCACATCACAGAAGCAAAAGACAAGCAAAGTTACATGAGATATCAAAAGGGGAGGAAATCAAAGCCAAAGATTACTTAATCAAATAAAATTATTCTGCACAAACCATCGTTTTTACTTTATTCAAATTCACAAAGGGAAATAGGTGTATGAAGGATCAGAAAATCATCTCAGGGATTAATGATATTTGATTTAAGATTAATTAATCTTCTTTTATAAAAGTAGTTTTCATTTCAATGTTATTTACTACTGATATGCAGATTGCTCATAAAGTTAATGTATAATATACAATTTTATCATCACTTAAACATTGATTTTGTGAATACTCCCTATATCACCGTAAATAGTCACTGGGAGTAACAAGGTAATTTTTTGGTGTGAGTTTACCTGAATAGATCAGAACTGTTTACTTTCGTTTATCAACCTTTTAGCTTACTATTTATACTAGTCACTGAAATACTAGTTATCTTCTAACAAGATATTCAGTTTATTCTTCATTCCTTTCTTATCTATCATGGTTTTTATTCCCTTATCTGCAAACCTGTTCACCGAATTCCGATAAATCCTGTTGAACTAATCAACACTCTTGAGATTTCGAGTTTGATCAGCTGTTTTGTCCTAGTTTGAGACTCTTTAGAGCTACTTACCCATTTCCCCACCGGGGATTGAACCTAAGACTCTTCAGGTTACGAGATGAGCTCGTCGATCATCCAATCGCTGGGACTGAATCCAATGACCTATGGATTCTAACTTCTATTAATGGGTGAGTTTTACAACCATCACCAGTCGGTATTATAAGAGAGTACCAGTCTTCACCCCTGCCTGACCTGGTGAAACCAACTAGTCACAACTTAAGACCAGTAAAATCCCTACAAACTGACACTTTGCCTTTTGTTGGAAAAAGTTGTAGAGATTGTTTGTGTGTGTGTACTTCTTACTTCCTATTATTCAGTTTTCTGTTGACTCATAGACTATCCGACGGGATGTCTTGATAGCGTCACTGCTCACCACTGGCAAACAGGAGCAATATATTATTTCACTAATTACAATTAGCATCGTTTTTGGTGGGGTTTTTTTGGACCAACGGATGCACACATAAAAGCTAATAATTAATTCTCACGATTGGTTAGGTTTTCGTTTTGTGACATACCGTTTAAAAGATTTGGGGTTTCGTATGATTAATATCGATTGTGTACCTAATACTCAGGCTGCTAGTGACGTGCGTAGTTGTAACTTCTTTGTTGTACTAAGGTTACTTTTGTGAAAATTCCATGATTAGAGGTATTCTGGTTCCAGGTGAATGTGACTTATATTTGTTTGTTTATTTGTATTCTGTACTAGTAATTTCGGATAGCTATTTCAACAATCGTCGTATTTGTTTTTAGGTTAATTTGCATTCGCATCCATTAGGTTGTACTGAAATGCACTGGAGTTCAAGACGCCATCTCTAATCACTATCTACTAAAATTTACTTCACGTTACTGTTTAGACATCGTCTAGGCTTCCATAACAAGATACCAGGGGCTGATATATCAGTAGACACTGAACATTTCTGTGCAACATAATCAGTCAACGCAAATAATCTTAAGATAACTGGTAACTGTTGCACAAATTGACTCTTGTGACCTGGTGGTAGATAATGCTTTGAAGTGTGAAATTTTTGGGTTCAGGGTTCCAGCCTCGGTGGGAACACTTTTATTCACTGGGAATAAAGATACATCTGGTTGACGAGTCCCGGATAGAATGAAATTCGCATTCCATTTGCTACGAGTGGGTCGTCCGAGGGTGACATGGAGAAGATTGTGCAAGGAGGATGGGGAGATGAGAGATTATTTGCAATCGTGGGCCCAGCTGAAGATGTCAGCAGGAAGTAGAAGAAAGTGGAGATGTTTTGATTTGACACTAGTAACTAGTGTGACATGTCTTGTCTTTTCTTCGCTGCAGACTGAATTCTATCAGTCAGGTATGTAATGTGGTCACCATTCTAGGTAGCTCGCCATCATGGTGCACATGATTTGATGATATTAGATGGTGCACCGTGATGACGAGCTACCTAGAATGGCAGCCACAGTACAAACCTGACTGATAGAATTCAGTCTGCAGCGAAGAAAAGACAAGACGTATCACACTAGTTACTAGTGTCCAATCAAAATATCCACTACAGGAGGTCAGTCGCGAGCTTGAATAGCTCAGTGGTAACGTCTCTGACTGCATCATTGGGTGACGCGGGTTCGAATCTCAGAAGGGACATGAGTTCCTTCAATTCGGTTGCAGATACGCCTTGCTGACTAGCATGAAACCTAGGTCCTAGGCTTCCTTGCGATTGCCTCCAACCATTAAAGTGGAGATATGTTGTTCAAGATCTATGTTCCACTCGGAACCCAAGGGGATAATAAAATAATCAATAAATAAGTAGTCAATGATGAATAGTTAAAGAGTTATTCGTATTATTAACTATTGTTATAATTTTCTTCAAATAATACTTGTATTTATCGATTTTATTGTTGTTGTTGTTTTTTTGTATTTCCCTTAAAATTTAGCTTCATAAATGAATTATCACCAACAGTTAGTCTGTGTAATATAGCTGAAAGAATTCATTCACAAACGCATTGTTTAAATTTAGCCTTATGGTTAATATATCGTGGTCATGCATTAATTGTATATCCAATTGTAGCCAATAATATGTATGTATTGGCACCTCATTCTAAAGCATGGTTTACACCACAATTGATTGGTCAATTTGCAACATCCTTTCCAGAAGTCAATTTAGCTGAGGTAATAATAATAATAATAATGAGTTTGATTAAACTGAAATTATTTACTTGCTGGATGTAGTTTTGATTTCTCATATCACTGAACTTCTTAATTAAAATATGTTAAGACTGTAGTATTTCATTGATGGAAGAATAAACATTAGAGATCAACAAGTAAGAGGAAATTAGGCTTGCGATTCAGGTTAACTCATAGGTCCAGAAACATTGAAATTTTGTGAAAGGTCTTTAGCAATGTGACTTTTTGGATCTTATTCACAAATAATTAACTTTCTGAGTCTCAGTCAATTGTATTTGATGAAGTTTAAGTCCTTCAGAGTCATTCACTGTTACAATGATGTCATAGTATAGTTAACAGTGAAAAACACTATATGTGTTGAGTCAAAGAGGATCGGTGGATTTCAAACATTATAGTGAACTGGTCTTATATATTATAATATCTACCAGTCAGATGTGTAATCAGGTTGGTTACAGGATTTCATTATGAGTTGACACTGGTTAGAGAACCATTGGAAAACCAGCTGGGAGTACTGGACAGCTGTTTCCATCGTCCTAGTTTGGGACTCTTGATCAGTGCGCGCCTATCACTGGGGTTCGAATCCAGGACCTTCTGGTTACAAGGCGAGCTCGTAGACCATTGCACCGCTGGAACCCGACCCAGTTGCCCGTGAATTCTAACTTTTTCCAAGTCACAACATGGCGTGACCACTGGCCATTGTCATCGGTGGCGAGTATTTGTCCTCGCACCCAACCTGCTGCACCCTACTGGTCACGACGTCCCATTAGAATCCCAGGTAACTACCTACCTGAATAGGTAGATAGTCAGGTTGTTGGATCAATTGATGCTACACTACAGTGCACTTCCTTAGGTGTTATATCTAAAAGGGTAAACGGTTAGGTAGCGAAATAATACGTAGTGTTATGATAATTGTGTTGACTATACAAACTGTGTTAGATAGGTTTAATTCCCAAAGAAATAATTAGTTAGGAGTGGGAAATGCATACAGGGCTATACGGAACATCTTTTTATTATAATGTAAATATCACTATTGCCAAATGTTCGTTTGTAGGGATTTGATTAGTTTCAAGTTAGATTACAAAGTGCCTACAGTTACAGAACTAATGAATATTAGAAAGCACTGGATAGCTATATCGTCCTAGTTTGGGAGCACAAATCCATGACCTCATTGATGGTCAAAACCATGACTTTTGGGTTACGAGAGAGCTGATTAACTATTCAGCCACTAAGACGGAATCCAGTAACCCATACATTCTAAATTTCACCAGTTAGCGATTTGTAATGCAATCGCCAACGATTGCCATCAGCGAGTATTTGTTCCTACACCCGACTTCCACTCATCAGGACTTCCTAATAGAACTTTGGATAACTGCAACTGGCAGTTAGTCACCGGTGAGCATTAGACTGATTTTTATGTGTTTTCTAGCAGGGATATTATCGCTTTCGAGTTAGATCACAAACTGACATCTATTAGGAAACTATTTAAAGCAGCGGAGTACCAGACAGTTGTATTATGCTACTTTGTGTTGAAATACTTTTACTTTTTATTTAGATTTTATTTCTTAGTAAATATATTCATTCTTTATTCCAGCTTTTAACATCATTTTCCACTACCTTTATGCTGAAAGATCACTTTCATCCGTCTATTGGTATCGCGGATAATCTTCATTATGATGCAGATTCAGAGAATAATGCCAATTGTTTTCGAAACAAGCCGTCTAAAACTTCATGGACAAATTTACCATTAACACAAAAAATCAATCTAATAGCTTGGCTTCTTCGACGTCGTCTTATCATCCAAGTAAATGTGTTATTTTGTTGGCTCATTGTACATTGTTATTTGTTATTCTTTTGAATTTTATTACTATATTTTGAGTGAATCTATACAACTTCATTTTATTTGAGTGCTTAAGCTTGCAGCAAAACTATACACTCCCTAGTATGAGGAATCAAAAGTCGATTTGAATGGATCAGATTCTTTCCAAGAAATTCTCTTCTGAGTGTTTGACTGGTTTCAACATAGAACTTTGCACCGATGTGCAGAAGTTCGAGTCGCCACACTCGATGTTGCACACAAAGCAAGAGAAGATAGTAAAGAGAAAAGCAAAATAGAGACAGTAAGCAGAGATATCAGGCAGAAGGAATAGTAATATCGAAGAACAATATGGTTTTATTGGGTATTATAAGTCACACGGAGTTGCTCTATCTGCTCCATTGAGAACGATTTTGAGCCATACCATCACCGATTGTCGTTAGCCTTCATTGGTTTATACCATACCAAGGACCCCAACCAGGAAGTCTACACCCTCGTACGTGGCTGCTTAAACTAACTGTTGTGGATTTCATTGACTGATGAAGCCATGTTTTGGTTTGACCACAACTGGCTCTTTTCCAACCTGATCCTATGTCGGTCAGCTAACATTGTCCGTCGAGGAAGGCAATGACTAGGCTTGCGTAACACATGTCCTAACCATCTCAATCGGAGCAACTTCACAACCTCGTCCATTGATTTTCTCTTCTTACCTAACACTCAACGCCTAACTTCAATATTGCTCACGCTATTATACCATTTCACACGGGAGGTAGAACGCAGGCACCTATGATCAAAGACAGCTAGCCAGCCTTTTCATGTCTTCCACTCTCAATGGCCAAGTTTCACAGTCATAAAAGAGGATGGAGAGGACTGCTGACCAGCATACACTCCCTCTGGTCGACAGTCAGCCGGATATCCTGTGATTATCACAGGAAGAATTGTCTCCCTTTTTGTACATCAGGATAATCAATGACACACCAGCCTGATGGGACTTCCTCTGATTCCCAGACGCTGCCTAGAACCTTAGTCAACGCAGACAGTAAACCGTCTCCACCGTACTTAAATACCTCTGGAGTCATTCCATCAGGTCCTGCTGCTTTGTCTCGTTTCAGACAAGTGACAGCCTTAGTAACCTCAGTTAAGGATGGAGGACCTGTGTCTATATCCCATTCAGGGAGGTGTTGCATGTTCGGCAGGTTGAGCGTGGCTGTAGGTCAATTAACCTGCTCCTCATAGTGTTCTTTCCAGCGTTCCAGTCGTCTATCCTGGGAGCTAATTATGGTGCCATTTTTCTCAGAGATTGTTTCACTTATCATTTGCCTTCTGCCACCTGTTTCCCTGATAAGCCTAAATAGTTGTCTGGTATTACCACATTCACATTTTGGCAGTTATAAAATTTGTTATCATTATAATCAGAGCAAGTTGCGAGTGAAGTAGACGTATTTTAATATAGAATGTAATTACTTAAGCGTTACAAACTGCAACTAATCTGACACTTGAAATACAAAACTTTTCACACTAAATAGCCTTTCGTCTATTCCAGCATCACTTTCATAAACAGGATATATCGAATATTTTGAGGGTATTTATGAAAATAAATGAATTTTTCAGTTTATCTAATAGAAAATCCATGTATTGGTTTGTGGGTATTTGATCCAAACGGTGTCAGCTCATGATGAAATCCTGTAGTACAAAATTATTGGTTACTGGTATTTGTTGAACAAAAGTAGCTAAAAGACTGAGTTTACGACATAGAAGTTTACACTAAAGTGTAGCAGTTCAAGTTTGCCACACTACGTAGAACACAAAGGTAGAGGAAAGAAAGATAGAAATCCAAAGGAAATGTTTTCATGAGAAAAGCACGCGAGAAAAACTAGTAACGTTGAGAAACATGAGAATTTAGTTGGTCTGGGAGATTACAAAGAGTGAATGTATCTGTGACATTCAGAATGGTTTCGAGCTGTATCACCAACAGTTTCAAACCATCCATTTTTAGTGTCTTAGGACCCTAACTAGGCAGTTTACATTTCCCTAAATAGCTGACCTAGAACAACATTTGGTGTCTTCAGGAACTGATGCTCCGCTTTGATTTGAATACCCTTCCCCCAACTCTCTTCCAATCTATTCTGTGTCATTTGATATTCCTCGACGAGAAGGGGATGGACTGTCAAGCATGACACGTGTCGTAGCTATCTTAATCGATGTAGCTTCATAACCTCATCGGTTGTCTTGTCCTCCTAAACAAAAGTTGTCCGCCGAAAGTGGTATGATTTGCTGTCGGTACGTGTTAGCCAGGATATATATATACATATATTCATTCTAATTGGCTAATAAATTTCAACTGTTTGCTCTTCTAATGTAATGCCGCGTAAACTTCATTTGCTTCAATAATATATTTGCCTAAAATATTTCGTTATCTTTTCTTTTAGATTCATATTTACATATTCCCAACATTTCTCTCCAGTGTAAATCAAATGAATCGTTGCTTAATGTCAGAAACATTCCAAATAATTTAGAGAATTTACATATATCATGCAATGTCAACAACACAACCTACAGTAGCTGTAACAGTAGTAGTAGTAATAGTAGCGAATATGACAGTGATGAAATCACCCCTGAATATAAAGACAATGAGAATGGTAAAAATCCCTATGTGGATTCTACCATCCCAGATTTAGATGAGTTGTGTAAAATGATTCCAAAGGATGTCTTACATGAATTAACTGACAATTTGCCTGTTGAATCACGACAATCATTACTCCACTCTATTTTAAGTCATCCTGGAGCTGTTCAAAATATTCAACTGCTTAAATTATTCAGTAGAATTTTACCACATTTACCAGCACACATCGAGGAAATTATGTTCAAGAGCAAGTTAGACGATCTACACTGATTGAATGTATTGAAAGATTCTCTCCATTCTTGGCGACTGCTAGACTTCCAGATCCAGTGACTGCTTGTTTTGCTGGAATACCGTGGCCTAATTAATTTTTCACTTCATCTCTGTATCTATACAAATTGTAAACAGGATGAAAAGATCAAGTTTTCAATGCCTTTCTTTAATCTACTTTCCAAATGTTTGTTTTTCCTTCAACTAGATTATTATTTTCACTTCGATGTGTGTCTTATAGATAATAAATTGTTTCTACAGTAATCATATATTGATGATTAGATTCAACTAGACGTTAATACACATATCATACTAAAATTATGTTTGTAACAGTATTATTCCATGAGAATAGAAGTGTTCTAACTTCCTTTATTTGACTAGTTTAAATATGGAAATGTGTTACTGTATAAATCAGTTGAAAACAAACTTTGAATTTTCCCACAGCCCAATAGTGGTGATTAATGCACTGACAAAAGATACAATTATTACTTCTTTTTTTTTATTGATGATGATATCTATCGAAGCGGTTTACATTTCGGCGTCGTATTCATTTCTGAAAATTCATTTGATTACACTTGTGATTTTTATTTTATCGTTGATTATGAGTTTATTGTTTGGTGAAGAGGTCGCAGTTATGTAGTTTGTGTGTGTGTGTGTGTGTCATTTTTCAATCACGTCTTTTGTACATAGATAATTTCATGTTATTATTAGATAATGTGTACAAATGAATTCATTCATTTTTAATTCCTATGTCTTTACTTTTCGTGGACAATTACCATACTTCATGAATAATCCTCAAAACAGACAGCAATAAAACAGTAAGACAAGTAGTTCAACGAAAAGGCTGTTTTCGTCGAATTCATTTTATTTGGCTGTACAATAGCATTTATAAACAACTTCTCGCGAAAGAGGATAATAACAAAAGTCATGAATTGTTATCATCATAGTTTTTAATCGTCGTCTCTGGCGTAGACGTGATATCCGACTAACGACCAAAGGGCGGATGTACTGCTCATCAGTCCGCTCCGTTCTCCTTTATGGCCAACTGTGAGACATGGCCATTGACAGTGGAAGACACAAAAAGATTAGCTGTCTTTGATCATAGGTGCCCACGTTCTGTCTCACTTGTAAAGTGGTATAATAAGGTGAGAAATATTGAGGTTAGGCTTCGGTTGAGTGCGAGGTAAGGAGGGGAAATCAATCGACGAGGTTGTGAAACTACATGGACTGAGACTGTTAGGAATGTGCTACATATGCCTAGTCATCGCCTTCCTCGACCGACAAGCAATGTTAACGGATATAGGGTCAGGCTGAAAAAGAGCTAGCGGTGGTCAAACCAAAACATGGCACCAGTCAATGAAATCTACAACAGTTAGTCTAAGCCACGTAGTAAGGTGTAGACTTCCAGGTTGGGGTCCTCGGGACGGTAAAAATCAGTGGTTGGAAACAATTGGTGACATGGCTCAAAATGGTTCTAAATGGCTGGAGTAGATGCATCCACTCCTTGTGACTTATGATTTCCAGTGAAACTGTTTTGTTCTTCGTTAATACTCTTTCGTTGTCTCACACCTCTGCTTACTGTTTCTAATATGCATTTCTTCTGTTGCTTTGTGTGCTACAAGGAATGTGGCGACTTGAACTGCTGCACATATGTGCAAAGTTCTATGTCGAAAATAGACAGACATAGTTTGTAATATCGATCAGTGAATAAGAGCAGTGAGCAAGAGTGTTAGAGTTATGTAGTGAGGTAAACAATTTAATAAATCAGTTGTAATTAGGATATACATAGAAACGAGGGCAAATATACTATCATCATCTTAGAGTTTGAAAGAAATAGAAGAGTTAGAAAAAGGGAGACTTAGCATGCGTTATTCTTAGGAGAAGCATTTCAGTATCCTTGAGAAGAATACTCATCACAGCAACACTAAGAGTAGCATTTGGCGGTCTTCTACTGGTCTGCAGAAGCTAGAATGGCAAGATCTCGCATCGGAACACTTCTGTCGACATATATGAGTGCATCTGTTCCATGGAGCGTGCTGTAGTGGTTTATTATTTCTAAAAGGGTTCAGGAACACTAACCCGTATAATTGCAAAGGGTAGCAGTAGCTTTATATGCACTGTGATAATTGAACACTATCTCAACAATCTCTTTCGAAGTGATTTACAAAATGAAAGACAATCTGCCAAAGATATCACACTTTCTTCTTTTCAACATCGCTGAAGCTTTAGTCATTCAGATAGAGAAACCGGAGATCTGCATACATAAGAAAATTATTGATCCACTTCTTTAACTACTCTGCTGTTTCCTACCAACTTGACTGTTTGCTTTTGACTGTTCAGAACTTTTCATTTTGAACCCTTACGTGTCCGTATATATATTTTTTCTTTACTATGTGCACGTTGATTACAGCTCATTCATCAAATTTTTCATCTCATTACGTAACTCTATCACTCTTATTCAACTCTTATATATTAATTAATATTAACAACTCGTCATTTTTGTGGCTGTTCTCTTTTGTGAAAAACTTGTATATAAGTGCCATTGTATAGCTAAATAAAATGAATTTGCCGAAAGGTTTCTCTTCACCGAATTGTTTGTCTTTTTCACTAATTTCCATACTATTATCATTTTAGTTTGAAAGGGACTATTCAGTACTCCACTTTAATATACTGTTAGGCTAGTCGAATACTGCTCTCTTATAGGAGTGTTTAAGCATCTTCGCGTATTAATGTTTGTTGAATTAAAACTGAATGATTCCTTTGGCGTATAAAAGAAAATACGAAGTCTAGCTAATGCTAACTTTGTCGGTCGTATAGTCGTATTGATTAACTTCGTAACCTTTGATTCACTGAGGCTTGACTCACTAATGGACAATCGTTATATGAATTTAGGGGCATAAATTGTTCTACAGTCTTTCGCATTTTGGTTGTCTCCCGGCTTGAATTTTTCCTCCTGATACTCGATTCCCAAATCAGCCAACCAAAAAATTCCCTTGTGTATCGTAAGCGTTATTGAGGCTTGAACTTCTTCGCAGGATGAAACGTACCTGGAAATTGCTTTTAAAACAAATGGAGTTATTCAACTATTGGTTTGTAGGGATTTGGTTGATTGGTTACAGTATTTCATCATGAGCTGACAATGGTTAGAGAACCATTGGAAAACCTCGGAGTACTGCACAGCTGTTCCCATCGTCCTAGTTTGGGACTCTTTGGCAGTACGCACCCACCGGGGTTTCAACCTAGGACCTTCCGGTTACAAGGCGAGCTCGTATACCATTAAGCCACTGGGACCCGACCCAACAGCCCATGAATTCTAGCCTCTGCCAATTCACGATATAGCGCAACCACTAGCCAATGTTTTCGGCGAGTATTTGTCCTAACACCCGACCTGCTGCACGCTACTGGATCGGTCCCGTGGCTTAATGGCCTAAGAGCTCACCTTGTAACCGGAAGGTCCTGGGTTCGAACGCTGGTGGGTGCGTACTGATGAAGAGTCCCAAACTAGGACGATGGAAACAGCTGTGCAGTACCTTCAGGTTTTCCAATGGTTCTCTAACCAATGTCAGCTCATGATGAAATACTTTAACCGAATGTAGTTATTCCTTCCTCAGTGTTTCATTTTATTTAAACAAGTCAAGCAGTTATTTTAATTTTCACCTCATTGTAACAATCTCCAGTTTTCTTAATAAAATAGCTAGTTATATTTATTCAGTCTAACCAGGAGACACCACCTGACAGTATCCTCAAAATGAGTAACAGATTCTTCTACTCCAAGTTCGTGAAAAGACTATTATATGCACAGTATGGGTATTATTCTACGTCTTTTTTACAGGTAAATAACCTTTGAAAATTATCATGATCGCACAACCTAATTGATTTCCAATCCTAATCACTCACAGTTTTTCTCCCTAACCCATCTCCTCCTAAATACCCTAGTCAAATATGCTATTTCTCCCACTTTTCAACAGTCGAATTTCCCTCATAATGTACTATTGTGATGAGAGCTGACAGTTAGCCAAAATTGGTGGACAGTAATGTACGTCAATGTTTATGTCCCCAATACTGGTCGTGAGAAAATGAGAACAAAGGCTTTGTGTAGGCGGACACAGTGTGCATACAGATGATCTGACATTCAAGAAACAGCCACAAAGGGATGCAAGGTTAACTTTCTGTGAGAAACAACCAATCAGAAGACTGTGTTTTTCTGCTAACAATAATCTATAATATGTACATGAAAATCTATAAATATGTGTTGATTTCCTTAATAAACTATCTGTTGCCTGACCCTTGTCTTGTGTTGTTACACTATAAGTATTCTTTCTACCGAAATCTCGAACGTTCCAAGTGTCTTACGAGGTATTATTTAAACTTTTATTAAAGAATTTAATATTCGTCTGATCTATAATTGAATTGAGGTGATATGAACTACCAGTAGTTAATACAGTTCCTTTCATTAATTATTGTATGGCCTCTGAACTCATGCTACAGTGGATACGATTCCATCTTACCTAACTCGTTGCTCACCAAGATGGTGTTTCACTAACATAATTTATATATATATATATATAGTTTTTAAATATTGTATCACTGTGTGTTACATCAAATAAACTTATCTAAAAGAGTCATATTATCAGTGCATGTATAATAGTGTTCATTATAATCTATCGTAGCACGATGTGAATATTGTTTACTTTTGTACTAATAATATAAGCTGTGCATGTGCGCTATATAAGAAGATACTCAAATGCTCATTTATAATCTTGGAAAATAAGAGTGTCTAACTTTCTTACTAATGTAAACCATTGATCCTGATTACCTTTTGACGTATTTTAACCGTCAGACTAACTAACAAACAAGAACATACTAGATTGACTATTGCCTTAATACGTATATATATATTACTAGTGCAGAGAAACCATTTACTTTTTTCTGTCACCTTAGTATACAATCAACAGGTTGAGACTTAACTAGTTTCTATGTCCTTACAGACTGAACTGATTTCATAGTGTAAGTGTTCTGTACGTGCTGGAATGGTGAACTAGTTGCACTGTATCTTCTATTATTCATATTAATTGTCCTTAGAGCGCTGAATGTACCAATAACTACAAAGTACTACGCATACATGCTGAGATTTTCTTTGGTATACTGAACTAAGGTAATACTTTCTCGTCACCGGATTAAGGTACATTTAACATTTACTGAGAATGATGTTACTAGTACTATACTACATAAACTACTTAGTAGAGCATCATAAAACATGAATATCATAACTATAAATACAGTTAATAGAAAATGAACAACATTTGTAAAGATAAAATGAAATTTTCGTCTTAATAAATCCTCATCAGATGCACATAGCCTAAATAAATGTATAAACAGTCATCATATAGATATAATTATAAATATAAATTTTTGCGGTAATCTACTGTCTGCATTTACCAGTTTTATTTGTTCTTTTGAAGCAGAGTACATAGTCTCAAGTCTGTAAACGTATTTCAGAACATAATAAAAGGAAGGTCAATAGTTAGTTCTATTCCCAAGCATGTCGTCAACTCTGGACATAAGGCACCTCTGCCTAACAGCTTCACGTTGATCTACAGAAATCCCTTATATCGCAGTAGACTTCGTATACTCAATCAATTTGCTATTAGCAGACATATGGGTATAGATCAGGTTTATTAACCCATAGTGACTAAGCTACATGATCAAAAATATCGGGTCAGCGATAGGAGAATCTCCAGAGATAACCAATCGCAGTTATGATAATCAAAGAAGACAGTTATTTCATTCACAGACAATTCCGAAAGGTCGCTGCGTTTTGAAGTTAGTGCTGAAGATGTTGTTAGGAGGATAATGAAGGCGTAGCAACTAACCAACCAGCTTAGAGGACTCAACAATGCAGAAAGTATGCTGTCTATATGTACCCGAATCACTAGCAACCAAGGTCTTTAGACCTAATATGTGTCTAGAAATAATGCCTACACTTACTCGCCTTACCAAGACCAGAACAATATTCCTATCATACTTTTGTTTTTATTTGTCTTTCTCACTTTTTTCTTTCTTCTGTTAATAAATTTACCGTCTTTCCCTTTTCTAGGTTTATTTTTATACGTTGAAGTTGGTTAGACTGTTCTCATATATACTATGTAATACTGATCTCCCTATGCACTCCCCTCTAGATAATTCTTCACACTAAGTAAACCATCTTGTAGAACACAACTACCAGTATTTGATTGGTTCACAACAGATTCTGTGTTGAATATAAATACGACTGTATACCTCCTGAGGATAATTTTTCATAAGTAAATTACCCTTAGGTCGGATAATTCACTCTACAAACTGTATAATAAAGATATAACAGTGTCTTAGGAATTCAGTGACTATGACTAAGCAATTAGATACCGAAGATTAACCACTAATTATCTTAGATAAACCCTCTAACATTGTTGAACCTATGAGTTGGGGAAAAATGACTTATCTCAATTCTTTTGTTGTTCAAAAGATTTTCCTACCAATATCTCTTCCACTTATATTGACGAATACAACAGCAAATTCGATATCATTTGTTTAATATATCAACCGGTTACCTTAATAACTGGTTGTTGAATGCTGAACAATTTTGTTTCATTGTAACAGACTTGAAATATAAAATTATGAGATTTTTAATAGCTGTATACTGTAGAAGCTGATTATTTTTAATAAAAGAAGTAGGCTTAGACACAATAGACACCAAAAGATGTACTACACAAAATCCTACAGTTTTTGCGAGGACTGGGAGACTTCTCAGATGCCTAAACAGAAGCAGGTAGAGTTGTCCTAAGGGGACATCGCCCATCTTTGACTTAAATTTTGATCCAAAAGCTAGTAGAGCAGTGTTCCCATGATGACCAAAACAGGTTTATACACCATTTGATCAGTTCGTATTCTGGAGCCCACGTACATGACATGATAGGTCTGGAATCGGGGTTTCCAGCTCCTCTAGGTAAATTTCATGTCTACTGGCTGTGAGCACCAGACGTACGTATCCACCGTTTCACTTCTGTGAAGACCACCTTCGCCACTTGAAGGCAGTGGACAGGACTTACCTGGCAGAGACTATAAGTAGTAGTAGTAGTATTACTATAATCATGTAGATCGTCTTAATTACAAAAGCTGGTATATATGTGTCTTTGGAACGTTAAATTTCTTATCTGAGTTAGGTTGATGAATCTCTGGGAATATTAGTCAAAGCCAAGTCGAACAGATTGAGTTCAAAAGAAAATTAGTAGCGTATAACTTGTAACTTCACTGCACTGGTAACAGAATATTCTTTAATCCAATATGAGGGTTAAAAATGCAACGGTGCTTAAAGCTACATTATTTTACTCAGTTTACCGCATAAGACGAATAGTAAATACTGAATAATAACAAATAGCAATTTATCAATCAATAGATTGTGAGGTTTATTATTATTATTCATTTATTTGATTGTTATATTATGAAATAAAAAGTATACAGAATCCCGTCTTTACAAGGTACATTCATATATGCAAAAACATAATCCAACATCGGTTTATTTGCATCACCTGCAATAAGGTTTCAAAAGAAGTTCAGAGAAATCTTTTACCGATTGTGTTCCTCTTATTTCTTGTTCTAATTGTGGTAATTGTATAACATGCATATCTTCATATAATTCTAAAATTTGTTCTAAATACTTTGATTGTATTCGATGACGTGCTAAACACATTCGACAAGTTGTTGGTGGTTCATTTGATGAATTATTCTTTGATTCATGATCTGTATCACATGTTGATGATGATTTTAGATTTGGAAATAACAGTTGATTCACTATTACATTATGAACATCGATATCGTGTGCAGTAAGCTCCTAGAAATAAATGCAGTAAACTAAGAAATTAAATGTTGGTAAGAATCAGTATTGTGCCTGTAAAAATCCACTATATGCAAACAGTAAATAGTGCATTTGCAATATAAAACATAAATACTATGATATAACTCATGTAATAGCCAGTAGCAATGAACTGATAGGATAAGTCCTGTCCTACCTGAGTGAACTTAAGCTCATGTTTGCATTTCGTTGAAATTCAACCTTAACACTTATTGCTTCAAAAGCCGCAACGGTATCTATTGAGTTAACCACATAACATAACTCTAGTTTAGTGGATGACAGAAAAATCTGCAACTTTCACGACTAGAATTTACTCTGTCGATGTTCCAATCGGACAAGTTGAATGTTGTTTCCCTTATTTTTTTTTATTACAACCTGATTCCACACTGTATTTTTGGTACCAGTATGGAATTTTCAGCATATTTTATCGGTAACCCAAATTTTGCGGGCCGACCATAGATATCAGGTATCAGGTGTGCGTCGGCAGTGTATCGAACCCCGGACCATGTGCATCGTCGGGGAGCGTTTTAACTGCTGTGGTGCGGACACAACAATCGGATTTTTAACACTAATGTCAAATCGGTCAGATCTTGGATATAATCCTTAAATTTAATCCGTCACTACAAGCATTTCGAACAGTCTGCTGCAGGCTTCTGCCAACAGCTGTCTTCGCCTCATATTGAACATCAGATGTCTGTCTGGATTCAACATAGAACTTGGCACCGAAGTGCAACAGTTCGAGTTGCCACGTTCCAAATAGCACACAAAGGTAGACAAGAAGATGAGTGAAGAGAATCAATAGAGTTTGACAAGTATACGAGTGAAACAGAATGGGTAATGGTAGAAAGGAATATGAAAGATTACAGAGATTGAATACATCTGCGCTGGCCATTGACAACGATTTTGAGCCATGTCACCTATTGTCTCCAGCCATTGATTCCTAGAGTCCCGAGGGCCCCAACCCGGAAGTCTGCATCTCCCTACCTGACTCAGTTTAACTGTCAAGGATTTCATGGATTGATGCCATGTTTTTGTTTGGCCACCACTGGCTCTTTTCCAACCTGAACCTATATCAGCTAGCAATGCCCGTCGGGGGAGGCGGTGGTTAGGCATGCGCAGCACGTGACCTAGCCATCTTAGTCTATGTAACTTTATAACCTCGTCGATTGATTTTCCCTCTTTGCCCAACACTCTACGCCTAACGTCAACATTACTTATCTTGTGAAACCACCTAACGTGAGACAGAGATCGCAGACATCTATGATCGAAAGCAGTCAACCTTTTCATGTCTTCAACGCGTATTGGCCATGTTTCAGAGCCATAGAGAAGGACGGAGCGAACTGATGAGCAGTACACACGTCCCTTGGTTGAACATCAGATGGCCAGAAACAAACAGCAACAAGGAATTAAAGCAACGAACCAACCGAGAACCTACTGACCGACAAATACATCAAAGAGGATGGAGGTGAGTTGGACAGACTCTGAAGAGACTTTTGAGTGAAGTCACACATCGGGTCCTCTGACAGAACCCCAATGGGAAAAGATGAGTTGAGCATGGGTATGACAGTAACATAGATGAGATGAAGGTTTATGCGCAGTCGTGGATTCAGCTAAATAGGACTGCAGAGAACAAAGTTACATGGAGATGTGCTGTTGAAGCCTTATATTCTACTTGAAATCCAAGTAAATAATAATCATATTGCAACATTTCTGGATATGTAGTAAGAAGTAGTGGGTCATGGTCACTTTTCCAATCCACCAAGGAACATTATACACTTACTGAATAACATTATAGGTTGATTAAAAACAAGAAACATTAAAAATAACTGCACCCTGAATTACAGTTAAAAGTTCTAGGCGCACAAATCATGCCATTCTGACTTACTTGAACTAAACGTTCTGTTTCATACATACTCAAAAATTCTGGGATGCATACACAAATGAAGGTTGTCTGGTTGGGATCTTTAAATTGTCTAGTTATTTCTTTAACAATAGGTAAGCGCGTTTCTAAAGCATTCGTTAAATCACCGCCTTGTGTACTATTCATTCCAACAAGACTCATCAATTGATTCAGAAATGGGGCAAACTAATTTTGAGTAGGAGTGAACATGAAAAACAAACAAAATGAAAAAAAGAGATTAGAAAAAACACCATTGGTCAGAACTTATATTTAAAAAATGAGAAAAGGTCAAACGGGACCACAGATAAGGTAAATAAACAGAACGCATTAGATGGCGTTGTTTACATATATATAACTATTTTATGACTGTATGAGCGTGGAATTTGTACATATGACGATGCAAATGGGAGTAGAATTGCAGTGAGAATTTGATAAACCTCTTACTTCACAGCAAGTATATCAAAGGAATTTGCACAAAACTAAGTACTATTAATCGATTGATATGAGTAGTTGTACACCGCCCACATCCGCCAGTATTGCTTTGCTAGCAAGATAGAAGTGACCTAGACACTGGATGACCATTTCGCTCGTACGAGGCCAAGCTCATCAGCGGTGTGCACGGTTCGACTCAGCTACGAGAGTCGAACAGTCTAAACCACTAGATTTCTGGCCAGCTACTTCGGTGAACTGTAGTCGAATTCGCAGTTTGTAAACTAATTTAAGATGGAATTTCACGAGTTTTTTTTTGGAAACGGAAACTATTTAGATCACAATATGTGATTTGCTTGGTGCCCAAAAATGGCAATCAAGAAAGCAAGAATTACTGCATAAAACTATTTACTACTACTGATTGATTGAGATGAGTAGTTGAATACCACTCACACTAACCAGCAGTAAGCCTGAAAGTTCTAATAAACAGGAATAAACTAAAGAATCATTAGTAAATGACTGAATAAAATAGGGACCTATCACAGCATATGTGTCATCTGACCAACTCTATACGGTACCCGCTACTACTTCCCCTCTGAATTAGTTTCCCCCTTTCAATGATACCAAAACTAAGCTGAACACAAAGGAACAACTTCTAACTTGATGATTACTTCGCGTCAGTCGCAAAATGAGAATAAATGGGATCAGTATTAACTACCGTTGGAAAGAGTTCACAGAAGATTGCAATAAATTGTCTCATATGTTTGAGCACTCTGACTATTGACTGTTTCAAAAAATTGCATCACTGGAATATCTCCAGTGAAGTTTAAAAAGAAAGGTCCATTATTTGTTACTGGGGAAGCATAGGTTACATTTATCTTAATGTAGCCTAAGAGGATATTCAATCTGCCACTGAAAATTGGAAAGACTCCATACATCTCCGTACATATTATCTCAAAACACCTGAAACTAGATGACAGGACTGCTTCCAGTCATGCTAAAAGACGAAAAGCACACATTCTGTTTATTTCATCAAACGCTAATAATTCTCCTGCAGTATGCATAAATTGATATTCTTATGTTCTGTTGATTTTTAATAAACATTCCTCAGAGTGAACATCGCTAATACATACAAATGATTCCTAATGAGTAAAGGAATATTCCACTAACCAACCACACAGGTAGCGTAGCCATGATAAACGAGTGCACTCACAGGAATTTTTACCAATGGTCATTTTCGAGGATTTGATCTAGATTATTGAAAAGACAGTGAAATCGATTAATATATCCTAGGTCAAATAGATGTGTCTATACATAGTGTACGCTGGCGATTTAATCAATTGAGTGTTAATTAAAATATTGAGTAAATTTATTTTCCAATGCATACATAAAATATTAGGACTACTCACCTGATTTTTCATAGAAACTACTTTGCTGAGACTTTTTTCCATTGCCTCCGGAAATGCCAACAATCTTAGTGTATGACCTGTAGGAGCTGTGTCGAAAATCACAACTGAATAATCCATATTACGAACTAAACGAAACACTTCTGTATAAGACATGTATTCATCCACTCCAGGAAAGGATGTCATCAGATGAGCTATAGTCTTTCTTATGTCAGCAGAAACTGCTGCTTCTTCTGAACCAACAAGATCTTCTTCCAACTCTCCTAAGTTAACATTTGGATCTATCTCCATAGCGAAGAGGTTATCAAAACCCTAAGAGAAATATACACAATTGTTATGTACACTCACAAAAACCATATGAAACTAGAAAAATATCATCTAAACTTTCACAAAATACCAATGAAAAATGTGCTGCGGAATTATGTTAATGGCTATAAAATACTGTTACTGGTACAGCAAAAATATTCTGTTTAAACTTAAGATGCTTATAGAAATGCTAGAAGAATTGAGTAAAGACTGTTCGACGCATAAAAAGATAAACAATGTAACACCTTTCTGAGAACAAAATAGGGTTTAACGACTAGTGATTACGGTAGGACAGTCAGAATAAGCGGTTACCATCGGAAAAAAAGTTCCGTTATAATATTGAGTCACCAGTGACCTAAAAACTCGAAAGTGTTATCGCTATTTGCAACATTTTCACTGGTTTTCTCTAACTTTGTCATCGATAAAATGCTGGAGACAGTTAAGAATGATGTGTGTGTAGGTGGTGTACATCTGTAGCTCTCAATAAGACTTCTCGACCTCGAGTTTGCATACAATATCACCTTGCTGTGCGATAAAATAAAGGTTACCCAAATCTCAATTAGTCAGCTTCCAGTCAATATATTTACGTGTGATACGTGTTTTGCTCAGTCTAAATGGCAGTATTATAGCGCGATCGACAGTGGCCTGCTTAAATCGCTAAGCATCCATTCCAGCCATCAAAATGATTTAACCTACTGCTATGGATTTTTTGAAGAAAAATTACGTCAGTTTATTACAGCGTGCTTCGGATAGAACAATGCTGCTTCAGATACATTAGGAACTATGAATCTACTCGTAGATTCTACAGCTGAAGTAAATTACTTTGTAATAGAATATGCTGAGAAATCTGCAATATGCATTAAAGCATTTTTCAGAATAAAGTTTATTATTATGGCTATTACTATTATTATTGATGACATAGTCCTGTTAGGGGAGGATGCGACAAAATGCAGAGTCTTCTGAACACCTTGAGCAGCAATCTTCGTATGTTTGGCATGCGATTCGCCCCTGCAAAATGTAAGATGCTGCTACAGGACTGGACGACGTCAACCCCTAACTTAGTGATAGGGAGTGAAGTGATAGAACATGTTGACCACTTCACCTACTTGGGAAGTTGTATTAGCACCAACGGACTGATTGGCGATGAAATCTCAGCACGGATCCGAAAAGCTCGAGCTGCTTTCGCTGACTTACACCATCTCTGGCGTAGGCGTGACATCCGGTTATCAACCAAGGGACGTGTGTACTGCCATCAGTTCGCTCCGTCCTTCTCTATGGCTCTGAAACATGGCCAATACGCGTTGAAGACATGAAAAGGTTGACTGCTTTCGATCATAGATGTCTGCGATCTCTGTCTCACGTTAGGTGGTTTCACAAGATAAGTAATGTTGACGTTAGGCGTAGAGTGTTGGGCAAAAGGAAAATCAATCGACGAGGTTATAAAGTTACATAGACTAAGATGGCTAGGTCACGTGTGCGCATGCCTAACCACCGCCTCCCCCGACGGGCATTGTTAGCTGATATAGGTTCAGGTTGGAAAAGAGCCAGTGGTGGCCAAACAAAAACATGGCATCAATCCATGAAATCCTTGACAGTTAAACTGAGTCAGGTAGGGAGATGCAGACTCCCGGGTTGGGCCCTCGGGACTCTAGGAATCAATGGCTGGAGACAAAAGGAGTCATATCTGCATTCACTTTCGCAGGTTAACTGTTAGAAGTAGTCTACAAGTTCATCTATCTAGGAGGTAAGTGAGCATTGGAGGAGGTGTAACTCATGAGACCTCTAATCGTATAGTGAAAGCTAGTGAGCCATACGCTTAACTTAGCCATCTCCGGGGTTGTCATGAAGTTAGTCTAACTGTCGAAAGTCAGGTGAGCGCAATATGGACTCTCCGAGCTAGGAATGTCCAAGACTCTGAGTGTTCGATCATCACCGCTCCTGTTGAAACATTTGCATCCACTGGTGTTTTTATTTAAGTAACTCTGAGGTCCAGTGGCGTGTTTCTGTACACAGGGGAGATCGTCTTTCATTAATCACTGTTACCTTGGAACACAAGATTCGCTATGAATGTCAATCCACCGGGTCCCACACAATTCGCTAACTATGGGACTGGGTGGAATTGCAGAGGAGTCGTTAGCCTACGACTAGGCGCCGTGAAGTAGATGATGTTTATGTAAGGTTAACATCCTTCGGTGTATCACGACTGCCTGCTTTGGGTCCGGGCGATAATTCCAATCAGTGGCTCAAGATGTTATCAGACAAGCGAAATCGATCGTAGAAATGTTACAATTTCTTCTTTCTACTCTTTATGAAAGTGACAAGAACCATTCTGTGAATGCTCTTTTTCCATATTACTGTTTTATCACTTTTGTGTAAAACATCTCTTGGTACACATACTGTATGAAGTTTGTATTTTTTAAAAATTTAAGGAATATGTAGATATCAGACCAAATGTGAGTGACTATTAGCACGAACATAAAATATCACTGATGACAATCAAGAATAAAAATGCGAGGTTTACAGTTTCCTACCAGTTGCCTCTTTACTTACTTCATTTCTAGTGCAACATAGGGTTTCTAATCTTCAGCTTTGGTGTTTCTTTTTACAGGGTCAGGTTGCTAGCCTCACACCCAACATAACTCTTTTCCCCGCTTTTGTTACCGGTTAAGCCAAGCTTAAGAGTGAGTCGGCTGTGAATCAAAGTCCGGACCTTGTTAGTGGTTGGCAAGTGTTCTACCACAGAACCACCAATGCACACTAAATGTCTTTAAAACTGTCAGTTTACATAACTCAACAGCCACACTAACATTAACTGATGATTAATTTGGTAATCATGTTAATTGTTTTACTAAAATAACTACACGAAGAACTGTGATGAACAATGACTCCCATAACATACAGAATTACTGTTTCCTTGGGTTCCGAGTAGAATACAGAGCCTCGACAGTACATATTTACTTTTCCTAGTCTCTGTGGTCCTCTTTAGCTGGCTGCACGATTGCCTATATTCTCTCATCTCCTTCTCGCATGATCTCGTCCATGCCACCCTCGGACTCACGCTTAACTCGTCGTTTCCTATTCAAGTTCCATTCAAGGGCTTCGGGTGTGATGTCATCCGATGGGCTCCTCAGAGTGTGTCCGATCCATCTCCATTTTCTTCTGCATATTTGTTGGGCAACAGATTCTTAATTGGCTTATTCGTAAAATTTCTTGCTGCTAATTCTTCCTGGCTGTTGATCTTGATTATGGAGCCAGAGAGGATGGCTGTTGATGAAAATTGAAGTAGCCTGTTGGGAATACCTTTGGTGACGTATGAGCCAAGTCTCTGATATGTATAGAGAACTCACTGAATTAACGATGGCATTGAAAAGCTGAATGCTGTTGTTTATTCTGAATGCAAACATTTTCCGAACGGATATCAGAGTGATGAACGTCTACCTTGCCTTTTCGATTCTCGTTTTGACATCCTCATCCGTGCCGTCCTCCTGTTGTTGAAACGATGGTGTCTAGATATATGGATGAAGTGACCTCTTCAAAAGTCATCCTGATAGTTATTGGCGCTTCTTGTTGTTGGATATTTTCATCACTTCCGTATTCTCTATTTTCACTTGAAGTTTTGTCTTCACTGGCGGCTTCTTCAGCTAGTTTGTTGGTTTTCGTCTGTGTCTTCGAGTTTATGTGACGTTAGGCACAAATCATCCATGAAGTTCTTCTAACGTCTTCTTATCGGTCCAACGTATCCCTGTTATTCTACAATGGTTATCTACAGTATTTATTTCATTCCCCCGACATAGATTAAACAACACTGTGTAATTAAGAAATAAAAGTAGTCAGAAGGTCGATGTTCCCTAAGGAAAGATATCATTCGTTAGCTTACAAAGTTTTGCAGCAAGGACTCCCAAAATCAAACTTAAATATATGCCTTCAAATAATGTATTAAAACTCAAGCAAGATTGTAAATCCTAATCATCAGTTCGTTAGGTGACTGTTTAGAAATACATTGTGACTTAGTAAATTCAAGAAGAAAGTGACAAAACGATGCTTTGTATCTTACCTTTACTTTAGTAGGATTTCTTGAAAATTTTTGGTCAAATGCATCTGACAAGTTATGAGCAGGATCAGTGCTTAAAATGAGGACTCGTTCACGCACCTTAGCCATTTGAACTGCAATGCTACAACTGCATGTAGTTTTGCCAACTCCTCCTTTGCCTCCTACGAAAATCCAACGCAATGAATTTGAATCCAAAACGTTTTGTATAGTAGGTTCAGGTGTGTCCATTTTGAAGCTGGAGTAAAATTACTGAATCAATGGAAAACGAACCCATAAAAAGTATAACAATGTCACTTCTAAAATTTTTATAAATCGTCCACAAAAAGCTAAACCTGTAAGGTTATAAAAAAAATTCAATCTTTTAAAAGCTATTTGATTGTCTCCAGCAGCCTGTTTACAGACAATAGTCTGGAAAGTTACGAAGTCAGGACAATACAGAGACAATACGGTTTAAACACACAACAAGACATTCAATTAGATAATGATAAAGAAATAACAGAATATACATCCAACGAAAGTATTAATATCTGGTGATTCATTTGTTGAAAACACTATCTCGATGAAGCACAAATACCAAAATATATGTGACAAAATGACATAAGACTAATACAGAACTAAAATAAACCCGAAAATTCCCCTATCTCAAAATGAGAAGACAAGAAAATTGCAGCATAATCCTAATTTATTTTAGGCAAATATGATAGCTTTTTAAACCAGTGGATTATGTACTGTGATTAATGATTTCTCCTTATGGGATAATTCGAGTTTCATACCAGTTTCTATTTCGACAGATGAATTTGACATAAGTGTACATCAACTCAAACTGCTGCAGCCCATCAACATCCTAGGAAAAACTCGACAATATCAAGGATAGGTAAAATGGTACGAGCACTCGCGAAAAAATATATCAAAATATCGACAAAATCGCACTAGTTAGGTATGTAGCTCATTGGCTTAAGCACCCAACTTCCAATCTATTTTCCAAAGACTTGAATTCAGCTCTACCTATTTCACCCCTTAAATAATAAGTGTGGCTCATGAGCTGGTATATGAAAAATCCGATCCAGGTAACTGAATTTTAACTACTTAGGAGTATTAAACTAAAAAATGGCACAAGTCCATGAGGTGTGATGGTTGGTTTGAGCTACGTAGGGAGTGTAGACAGACTACTTGGGTTCGTCGGGTGGTTAGAGACCATAAATGACGAAGCTCAAAACCGGCCTGGATGGCACACGTGCATTAACTTTTTGTAATCATTCATACCAGCCAAACCAACATGTTTTCCCATGTTACTATTCTTTCTTCCTCACATTCCTTCTCACTACAGTTCATTTGAGTCTTTTTACTGTCTTTTGTCTACCTCTGATGCTACATGAAGCGCGGTGACTTGGACTGCTGCACTTCTGTGCAAAGTTTTATGTCGAAACTCAGTCAGTCAGTCAGACCCACCTTAAATAACGTCTCCCTGCTGACGCTAACCGCCAGTCAATCAAAAAATAAAGGTATAGTGCAAAAGTGTAGGTATTGCTTCGCCGTGTAGTTGTGAGATATAGTAACTGGTCGTGAATGTTAAATGGTGACTTGTATCACTGTTGCACCAAATAAACTTATCTCACGTGGAATTTTTAAGGCAGATATTATGACGGCTACCAAAAAATAAGAGAAACGTGGCACAAACTAAAGCATCATCAAAATTAAAACAACTGCTACAGAAGCAGCCGTAGTCCTGCATGAAAGCATGTCTTTAGTAAATGGTGACAGTCTGACAGCTGAGTGACAGGTAGCATAATAATGCGTGTCAAAGTTAACTTTTACTTGAAACAGATTACCTGTGCAAAATGCAGAAGGCAACCGCCAGTACCTGACTTGCAACTATAGTCCTAACTAACCGATCTTTCTCTAAGCCTTAAAGCAATCATTTCCATTTTCAGATAATCATCTGTTCCTGGCCACTACTAATCATCACAAAGAGGGTCATTAATACTGATGTCACCATGATCAACTCCTATCTCCGAAAATGATTTTCCACCAATGCAAAGCTGCTCCATTATGGATAAGATTCTATTTTCATAAATCTTATTCAAAATAAAAAATGAAATCTTATCCATAATGGAGTTATACTCTACCACAGTGCCCAAGTTTTGTACTTATATCAATAATGCAAAGCTGCGTTGAACTAGGGTACGCAGATGACTTCTAATCCAAGGGCTGAAAACATGATTTATTTGGAGTGGGGTCAGCTCTAATGAATGGTTGATGAAGACATCTCAGCACGTGTCAGTACTCAGTCGGTTAATGCACCTGGGCAATGTGGCCAAAACGTGAGCTAAATGGGTAATTTTGATCGGCAAGCAGGTGGGCAAAAGATGTGAATGCAACAGATTTTACCCACATTGCTGATATTGGCCACTTTTTCCCCGTTTGCCCATGTTCAGTAAAAAATTTTTGTCCCACTTTTACCCGTTAACTCACTCTTTCAACGTCCCGATAGGGACGAAAATCTGATATATACATGTGTACATACACTTTCAATTTCCCCTATTGCATTAATTGTAGGTGTAAATCCAGAGTAAATAAGTCTTGCACCCCTAAAGAGCACAAAGTAGTCTTTCTCTTGTCTTACTTCTCCTAGCTGGCGTAGCGACTATCGTGAAGAGAAACGGTTTGTACCACCATTCATTTAACTCCAACAAACTCACTAGTCAAACCGATATAATTTATTTATTGATGGGTAATGGTACAAGTTTCAGTCATACAAAAATGGAAAAATCCTGGTTAAGTAGTAATTTAAACGGGCAAATTTTGGCAGGTGGTAAATTAATGAGCAAAACCACTATGCTTGGACAATCTCTTATGAATGTACGTTTTTGGCTCAACAGTGGTAAAATATTGGTTAAGTAATGGTCAAACTGGTGAAATTTCGGCCAGACAATGGTGAGAATCTTGCCATAAAGCCGAATTTCGCCCATTTTCTCACTATGGGCAGTGTAATTTTTGTCCTACATTGTGCGGTGATATTTTAATTCGCCAAAAATTCAATCAAAAAATTACATGGATATATTTTTGAAAACATATTTGCATTCTTTAATGTCTTACCAGTCTAGAAAACAGCGTGAAGTCAACTAATCAATACGTCAACACTGATTTGTAAAGAGCGCTCAAATTGCCAAGGACACTTAGCTGCAGTTTGCTGGCCAATTACCTCTCCGACGTCTTAAAGGTTTGTTCCTGATATTCCTTACCACTCAACTTTAAGCTGAGGATAAGCTATAGCAGCCATTAAACGACTTTGTGCGTCGGTGGTACAACAGTTAGGTAGTTCTCTGACCATGCACATGGTCTGGGGTTCGACCTACAGCCGACGCCCACGTGATTCTGTAGCGATAAATAATTCCCCGAAATTATTGCCACAGCATTCATCACTGAACATTGGATGCTTACCATCACTGTTGAAGTCAACTCGTTTAGCTGAAGGACTCCGTTCAAGCATCCACGCCATTTGGTACTCCGTCGTGTCACGTTCGTTCGTTCTTTCGTGCACGATCCCTAGCCTAACATATTTACTTTCGAACAATAAATAAAAATCGCTCATTCGCTCCCGCGAATTTCTACAATATTCAAGTTGAGTACACACACAAACATAAAATACAATGATACCTAAATTCAATAGAAAAATAAGTACAAAATAGTGATTCCTAAATTACGTAAGTAACCTTCGTACTGATAAATAAATATATGGACGTAAATTAGTCAATCAAGCTGGTAAAAATAATAGACAAAAGTGTAGAAAAATTAGCACAGCAGCCCGTCTTGAACCCAATAATGTGTGCTTTTTCTGCAGCACCATCAGTTAGATGTGTTTGTACATATATGTGTAGATGTGATTGATTGCTCATGTCATGTGTTAATGTGAGATTTACGTGAGTTGTACAAAAGTGTGATTTTTAATATCTAGTGTTTGTAGAATCATCAAATGTAATACAAGTCTCCATTAATCTTCAGCATGTGAATGTTGTGCGTCGGTGGCATAGCAGTTGAGACGCTCGCCGACCATGTACATTGTCCGGGGTTCGCACTCCTTTACCTCGCTAAGCCAGAAACAACGGTGATCAAAAGGGTGGGCATGAGGCTAGCAACCCCACCCTGTGAAATGAACGCTGCTGCAGAAACTTCAAGCCACTAGCTTGGAGCCCTATGTTCCACTGAGGAACGTGAGGGGAAAATATGTGAATGTTGCTTGCATGAATGTATCATAGGGTAGCATCGACAGTTGAATGTAACAATAATATTTAACATCGGGAGAAGTTTATAACAGCAATATGCTCTATGCGTGTATGTAGTATGGAGCAATTAGAATATATTATTATTATTGTATCCTTTAGTTCCTAGAGGAACATAGGGCTTCAGCCGTGCACCTCCATTGTCTTCTGTTTTCTGCCAGCTTTTTCACCCCGCTCCAGGTCTGTCTACATGCTTTCACCTCCTCCTCGCGTGACCTCCTCTAAGTCACCCTTGCACTGACGACCAACTCGCCACCTCCCTTTCGGGTTCCACTCGAGGAATGGCTTGTCTAGTGATGTCACTTGATGGTTTCCTCAGAGTACGGCCGGCCATTCCATCTCCATTTCTTTCTGCCTATTTGTTTTACAATCGGTTCCTGATTGGTTCGCTCCCAGAGATACCTGTTGCTGATCTTTTCTGGTCAGCCATCTGATCTTGAGTATTGAGCGAATATAGAATAAACAAAGATATCAGGCATTTTAGGAGGTTAATAACAGTATTATCGGTTCAGTGAGTATATATATGTATATATATATATATATACGTATGTGTGCATGAGTGTCACAATGTGTCTCGCATGTGTGTATTATGCCGAATGGTAGCAGAGTAAACGGTAAAAAAGTATTCCTTTATGGCAATTAATTTACCATATCACTGGTTCAATTCTTCTCTGCGTCTGAGTTCATACGTTCCACTCATGCTAGTATCGTAGATATTTAAACAGCCATTAATGATTGAGATGAAGAGGTGTGAAATGTCGAAGGGGGTGAAAGAGATTCTACGAAGGCATTCTGCAGAGAGTTGACTGATCACCCCTCAATAAGAGATTACAACAGGAATTTGCATGACTGTTTGGTCTCTATGTCCTATTCTAGACAGGAATCGTTCACATGCAGCGACCATCGTGGTAGCTCCATATCTTGATATCTTCGACAGATAGATGATGTAAATGTGGGCGTTTGTCAGCCACGTTTCGTAAACCATTATTGTCCAGCTCTTGCTACGCTGGGCCTCACACTGTTCCTCGAAGCTTCTCAGAAACGCTTAGTACGAACGGATGCAAAAACCAGAACACAGATTGGCGAGTCGACAATTATTTATTCTAACAGCAACATATAGCCATTGTACAACTAAGCTTTACAACTAAGGTCTATGAACAAATATTACAATAATAAATCACAATAATACTTCTGACGGTTTTGTACGTGCTTTTTGAACAGCGCTCGATGAGGCGATGACTGGTGTATTGATGCCTCCGCGAAAAATTGGGGAAGTTGGGTTTGAGCAAACAACCATGAACTGATCGTTCAATCTTCAACTACATTGACACTCCCGGCAACAAACCGATCCATCCTTTTTTTCCATCACGACCAATACACGTTGACTTGGATGCCATTGCGAGAACCTGGGTCACACGGACAGAGCTGAAATGGAAAACAAACAGAAAAGCCAACACACCACAAGCATACCCACAGCACAATCTCACACAACGATCAGGACATACGCCTTCCAGTTAAAGGCATCCTCTTGCAACACAATCGCCACTTGCTAGAATGACCATTGCAGAATGCAACGTGATCACAGCAGCACCTCATGATACTCTTCTCACATCCTATTATCTACTCACTATCAATTACCACTAGGATGCTTGTCACACATTCGGACTCAGTTCTAGTGGCGGTGACGTATGCAAACCTCAGTCGCCTACACTCTCCCTCCCTGGCGTTCGGGACCACAGCCTAAATAGAAACATTCATTCTCAATCATTGATTCCACAGCTAATCCTTATCTCCGTGTGCATGTAATTCTCAGCAATAGCCTCCCCGGCATATACGACTCATCTGCTGTCCTCAACATCAATCAATTCATTCACGGATGCGGAAGACTAGAAACAACTTCAGAAGTAAACATCACGAAAAATTTAGGAAAATTACGCAGTAACAACAAGGTAAGAAAACAACGAGTAAACACAATGAATCCAAAAACACCGATTGATATGACACACCACACATATATACAAACCATACACACAAAGTCGCAGATCGTGTCTCGATGGAATTCCTTTGAAGAATCGCGGGACTTACACCAGTACGCCTGCAACCCTTCTCACGTTGACGATTGTAACTTGTAAAATGTCCGGACACAATCAAGACTAACCAACAATTACAATAATTGGAACTCACACTATTATTTAACACCAACATGTACAATCAATACATCAAATGTTGTGGACTCTGACTGGGCGAGCTATCCTTGAAGAACTGTAGGACTTACAGCAGTACGCTTACATTCCTTCTCAGGTTGATGATACAAGTGGAAGACGTCCTTACACAGGCAAAATTATCAACAGATAGATAAAAAGTTGATACCAAGTCAGTATATTCAACATGAACGTACGTACAAAATCACACACCAAGCACATTGGACTGCTCATTGATGCGCTACCCTCTGAAGAATTGCAGGACTTACAGCAGTACGCCTACAACCCTTCTCAGGCTGACACTCTAGGTTGCAAAATCGCCACAGAGTTCAATTGCTGACCTCATTCCGTCATCTATATCCTCAAATCCGAACGGTAACACGCCCATGTCAATGTATCGTAGAATATATATGACGAACAAACATACGACGTATCTCACTAATCAAGCGAAGAAACAGAGAAAATTACACCAAAGATAATAACATTAAAATAGTAATTTGAAACTTGAAATGCGTTTATTCGTACAAGTCAGTTCAACAATTACCCTCGTACACACTTTGCTTATCCTCATTAAAGTGACCAATATCTTTCGTCTTTTCAAACGGACAGATACTAGCATACTAACATAGGACTCTTTATCGCGGTACGTCCAACGTTTGCGTTGCATTCTTACGTGATTCGTTACATAAAATTTATCTTGTTGTAGTGCTTGCACAAGTACCATACTACTTGCATACTTGTAACCGCTGACTCTCATTTCTAATAGTTATGGTTAATCAAAGTAAAAAGCAACGAACCCAATCCCCTGTAAAACTGGTGCATAATATTACGTCCTTGATTGCTACATCAAGCAACACACCCCTTACAAACGGCTATAGTGTGTTACATAACTCACTTGTATGCCGTAAGCGTCGAGCTGGAACTGAAAATAAAACTGTACTGATAGCTAGTATAAGCACTACTCCTAAAAATTCAGTACCCTCTGCTCATACAGAACCCCTCCCTTCACCTTATGTGCTTATCGAAAAACTCCAGCCATCAAGCTCTTTTTCAGTACTATCTTCAGAAATAGAACTTCTAAAGTTGTCTATAGGAGAACTTAAGGCTGAGTTAAGGGAAATAAAAAACAGTAAGTCAGTAAATGCTGGAAACATCGAAACCAATACCGAGATATCCAAATTGCCAGATCAGATCAGCGATATCAGATCGCAGGTCTGTGAACTGACACCTCTAACTATCCTCATGAAAACTGTAAACCTTAACAAGCTTGACACAGAATCGGTAACTAAGGTAGATAACCTCATTAATTTTGTTACCACAGAAGTAACAAAACGACTCGACGCAAAACTGAGTGCTATTGTCTACAACGTTCCGGACAATGAGGCACTAAAAAAGGTACAGCGCATCTTACTTAGTGAAGCGAAAATGCCTAACTCCAAGACTAAGTGCTATAGGCTGAAGAAGAGTCAACATGAAAAGTGTTGTCCTATTCGTTTTCAGTTCGAAACACCGGCAGAGACCAGAAAATTCATCCAATCCCAACACACCCTATCGCAAGCCAGAAACTACAAACATATAAAGGTCGGGGTGGACAAAACAGTCATAGAAAGGCGCGCATACAACTATCTCGCTAAGACTAATTGTGAAATAGGTAATAGGACATTGCAAGCAGCCATTATTCCCAACCCTGTGAAAGATACAGTAGACCCCACCGCAT